GTGTCACTAGGTCAGGCACTAGAGTGGGTGATACGTTTACAAGAACAGGGTGTTAAACAGCGTCAAGTAGCCCATTTGCGTTCAGTATTATCGCTTCAAGGACGACTCATCACCAATCAACACAGGGTAAGCGACTTCGAATACATTCCTTGTGACTTTAGTATATAATACATGTCGTGACGTTTGCATTACAGATGACAGCAATCATGGACCGTTTAGTCGAGTTGAACAAACAGTATAAAGAAATGACCGAAAGTAAATTACAAACACGCGATATAACGCAGGAGTTTGTGTTACGTTCGAAACTGCGAGATCTTCATAATGCGTGCAAGGTACGAGCTGCGGTAATATTTACGCGACTAGAATATTACAGGTATCGCATTGAGTTCGTTCGCTTGTCTTAGGAGTGGGATCAGTTGGCTGAACAACAGAAGGAGATCGAGGCGAAGCTGCAGGAATTAGAAGCCTCACCTCCTAGGTAAGATATACATGTTCGCTCCTATGACTCCCGTAATTGTCCTATTCAAGCTCCTCATTAATAAACAGAAACACGTTTCTGATTCACAGCGACGTGTACTTATCCTCCAAGGATCGTCAGATACTCGACTGGCATTTCGCGAACCTCGAGTTTGCCAACGCGACATCCTTGTCCAACTTGAGCCTGAAGCATTGGGATCAGGACGACGACTTCGAGTTCACCGGCAGCCATCTAACAGGTAAGTCTTCCAACGTTCTGTTACATAATCCGAACGAATCGCTGTCTCGAATTAGCGCTCGGCGGGAGTGATTCGGATCTACCTGTGCCGCCGATTAAATTGCCCGAGACTGTAATTGATTGGCATTGGCAGCGCGCAAACCGCGCGAAGACATTCTAATTTCGTGCGTGGATTCGCAAGAATATTCTAGCGTGCTTTGTGTACGCGCGCGAACGCCGCATTATATCGACGTTCTCGAGAAATTGCTTAACCAGCCGGTAGATGGTTTAGATAACGGGTGAATTATTCGCGGGTTGCATCTCCTTTACAGGCGTCGGATAGTCTCGCAGCGCTGTGCCCCCGCGCGGTTGACTTTATCAACCTTATTGAAAGCCGATAGCATAAGATTCCGTGTAGATAGTACCGCGTGGTATCCCTTAGCCGATCGGTTACCGGAGTTCTCATTACGTGAAATTATACCTATGATCATCGCGTGTACCCCAAGTGCTCGGGGCCTACTAATGCGTTAACAAAAACGAAGGCGACGAGAGTTATGACCGTAGATAATCAAGCGGGTTTCGTATTTTACGCTGTCGACGGGCCTATGCGCGCACGGGCGACGGCTACACGTTAATAGCGCCGGTCACCGTTCCCCGAATCGTTCCCTCCCTCCGGCGAGTATTTACATTAAGCTTAAAGTCTCCCGGAAATAATTCGCATACCGATACCACCTGTACCGCAGTTAGGACTGTTCGAGGACTTCCTGGTACGATCTCCCGAGCTGGTTTCCGTGAAATACTATTAAACGCCATGCTCTTGCGTTAGAGCGATATTGTTGCCGATAACCGAGTTCGGAGTTTGAAACATTTGTTTGTTATATCGTATCTAATCGCGCGCGGTTTCCTATATTAGCGACAACTGTTACGCGCGAAGCCAGTGATAGGAGTAACCAGCGAAATAGCGTGGGTGGTTACTTCATCGGCGACCTTGGGCAGCCATCTTGTCTCGTTGCCGCGTACCGTCTATCCACTAGCTACGATTTTACCCACAGCGCTCGAGCCTTCTGGGATCGATTTATATTTCAATTTCAAATCGTTAGATATCTGCAAATCAATACAGAATCTTCAGTAAATTTCTACGAATACTTGTATAATACTTACTCACGTTTTATCATACGTGCTCTACTTTTATACATTATATTTCGCTGATCCGAAAGTTGGTTCTTATGCCCTTAATTTATAACATCGAGTCGATAGATCGTCACTGTTGCGAAAGGAATCACGAGGCGATAGGTTAAAGAGCATATAAAAGTTGCAGCGCAAGAATCGCGATAACGTTACGCGCGGCGGTCGAACGGTAAACGGCTGCTTTAATAGGGAGGACACTCAAGCGACACTGAGTTCAAGGTGGACGCGCAGTTTTGTATCGGTGTCGGCCGTACAACTCAGCGGAATGAACGCGGTTTGCGTGTGCTGCTACTGCAAAGTGCACTCGACTGACAGCGAACGAATAAACGAACGAACGAACCGATCGGAGCCAAAACTCTCGAGTTCCAATATCGCTCCAGTATCCGTTTTCCTTGACGGTTCCCGACGCGGTAGAACGTCGCCGTATTCTTATGGGCCCCGTGGGCCCGGTAAGACACGCGAGATCGTAGTTCGTTGTCTTCACTCGGGAAGAGCAGCGTGCAGAGAGTGGGGCACGAGGGGCCGGGCATAACACGGAGCCCCCAGGCAGCATGGTGGTCAATTCGAAATTAAAGCGATGCCCACAGGCCCATGACTGACGTGCATCGATGATCATGACGGTCTGCCCGCAAGGTTCTTCCCGGCGATTAATGAGATGTAAACAATTTAACGCTAAATTAAGCACAACAATAGGCCTCTCTCTCGGGCCCCCCTCTCTTTCTTTCTCTTTCCCGTGAACGGCCGGTCGAAAATGTTTTCGTGGGGGCCCCCGGGATCCACCGATGTAATCGGTTCTCCCCCGAGCGGAGCCACGGACTTCGCCTCTCGCGGTCCTTGCGCTCTTCCCCGCTTTACGGACCATCGGTTCCTTCTCGGTTTCAAACGAATCCCGCTGCACAGGGTTAATAGCCGCTGACCGAAAACCGTTTAGGCTGAAATATTCTTTGAGATACATTTTCGCTTTGACCGTCGCCGACCGATGCCTACTTCCCTTTCACCCATTTCCCATCGATAGCGTCGCTAGTTTCCGGTCAATAGTACTTCGACTTTCTCGAAAAGATTTCCTTTCGATCCGAAGGCGTTGTCCACGGTCCATCGGAAGGTATCGAACGATGGGTCCACCTTCGACGTTACGCATCATCCCAGCTCCCTCCGCCCTCGGGCCATCTTTTCCGATTCAACCGTGTCCAACACGGGTACACCGTCGTTCCGTTTCGTGTGTATTGTTTTCGACTCGATCAAGAGATCCGCTACACGTCCACGTCGGTCAACATTCGGTACTAAAACGCTGGAATGTACAACGCCGCGTCGTAGACCTAACCAATCCTTTTCACGATTCGGTCGTATAGCGGAGAGTTACCGAGCTTTGTTCGCGGCCGTCGACTGGCCGCGTCGTCAGTGTTTTTCGGTCGTTCCGTTGTCAGCCCCGCGACGGGTAGGACGGGAACGTAGGCAGCCCGATATTATGCCTGTATATACCGCGCGCGCGCGCGCGCGCGTACCGAACGGAGATGGAGTGGCCCCGGGGATACGAGGCAAGGAAAGGGGGGTGGCCGGGGATATGGGGCCCATTTACGACGTATCGAAGACTTCTATACCGTTCGTTGACTCCGATCGTCGCATTCCACGACGTCGGTCTGTCGCTACCAAAATTATATTGTCGTAAAGTTGACTTCTCGCCGATCTTGGCGAGGCTCTCCGCGCGAGAGAGTGTGAGAGAGAGAGAAAGAGAGAGAAAAAGAAGGAGAGAGGAGAGAGAAAGTGAGAGAGAGAGAGAGAGACCGTGGTCCACGGTTTACAAGGGGACGATCCTCTTGTACGCGTCCGAATAAACGTCCACTCGAGACCCAACGGTCCCGCTCGCGTTTCTCGCCCGAAATCTCGCCTCGTCCGCTCTGCCGTCCACGGGAACACAACGCTGCAGCGCGGCGTACGCGCGCGCGAGCGTCCGCGGTTGGTTTGCCGTTAATCGGATAAGTTCGATTGAGTCCTCGCCCGGTGACTTTTAAAGCGGCTGTAAAGGCCTCGCGGAAGATGAATCGCCGACTCCGTCGGCGGTGAAGGTGTTACTGCAATTATTGAATAATGTTTCACCGGCTGGACGGATACGCAATGAAATCCGATGGATAGTTATCTGGATAGTTACACGATGATAAACGTCCGGTTTGATTGCTTCGGTTGTTGGGGATTTTGTAGCGGGATAGTAGTCGAGTTTCTTGCTTGAACGTTGAGATGGCGTGTATAAGTGGATTTCGTTTATTCAAAGTCATCAGAGAGCGCGGTATTACGATACGGGTATCTATAATTTGATCTGCTATTGTTTATCGGTTCGCGCAAGGAATTTTCTCTTTGTCGAAACTGAAACTGAAATGAAATGCTATCGAACGATCTTCGTGTATTCCGTAAGACTCGGTAATCTTCGAACAACGAACAAACAGGATACGTTACAATCCCACTTTAGCTTCGCACACCGAAACCAATCGCGAAATTCTAGTTTATTCATCTCGAATTCCACTTACGCGCGCCCCGAACACGAGCGGAGAAAGATATACCGGCAAGTTCGGTGAACCGTGTACCAAACGAAATCAGTTCTTGCGAACGGAGTCGCTGCGCAGTTTCACGCCAGGGAAAAAAAGGACCTCGACAGCCGAGGGGCCATTAAGCGCGTATTAAACCTCGAGAGAAAAATATTTACCGTCGTCGGCGGACAATAACGGGAAGAATGGAATCCTGAATATCTAGGCCCGGACGTATTCCCGTGGCCGGAGATCGGAATCGGGGATCCTGTTAAGGATCTCGCGCGGTCGTAGCGGCGTCGGGTCGGGGACGCGCGTTTCGTGTTTCCCAATAACGTTCGGCCGTCAGGAAATTTACGAACCGGGGAATATCGGGGGAAAGAATATACAAACCCGGGTGCGCCTTAATGAGCTTTCGCTTTCGATCTCCGATCGATTCCGGCCGATGTTCACCCGGGGGCCTGGAAATAAACCGGGTACGGACCGTGGAGGAGAGGTCTTCTCGATCGGCTCATTTGGCGAGGAGAAAGAGACAGGGGACCGAGGGACAGAGAGGACCGAGGTGCTGCTGCTGCTACTCCGTTGAAAAAAAGAGTGTAAAATAGAATGTGTCGAAACGCCGTGGCCGCGTCTCCAATGTTTTTCGGTCGAGGGTTGGAACTGTGGCGTGAGAAAGAGGAAGAGAGGAGAAAGCGGGATGGAAGGAGTCGGAGGTTCTCGGACGCCAGTGTTTCCCCGACAGGACGAAAACGTAGGCAGCTTAACATTAGTTGAGCCGAGAGCTGGATGGCAGGAGGGAGGAGGGTATGAGGAACAGGGTGGGGGAGAGAGGGGGGCCCGAGTGGTAATTTACGAGGTATCGAAGACCTTGTACACTCCTACCCGCCAACGAGCCGGCCTCGCCCCGCGGAATCCAGTCTTGGCCTTAACGCACCGATACCTTTCCCATGACCACTTTCGGCCTATCTGTGCACACACGGCACGCCGGGCACACAGCCTCGCGATCTCGTACACAACCGTACACCTTCTCCACCCGGCTCTCCATCTCTGTCTTTCTCTTTCTCTCTCGCCCGCTTGCTTTACCTCTTCTTACCTCTCTCACTTTCTCTCTTCCTCTCTGTCTCTCGATGTTTGTGCCTTTACCATTTACAGTGCTCCTCGTGTCGGCGACGCGGTAGGGTACCTTGTCGATATAGTCTATCTGGGGCTGGGGCTCAACGGGCTCCTCGCCGGTCCTCCCCGTCGATGCGCGCGTGATTTCTCTTCTTAACGTCACCTATCGGCCGGCGAAGCGTCGACCGGCCGATTTCTTAGCGCC